GGAAATGCGCGTTCGCGCTGGTTTTTCTCGCGATTTACTTGGGAATCGCGCTATCGCTCGAGACCTCGCGATTCATTCAGCACGCTCGCTTCAGCAACCCGCCTGCTCGACCTGGCCGCTTGGGCCCGCCTTCCGACCCCCCCGTTAGGGTCTACCCGCCCGATCTGCCGGTCTGGTTTTGCCACGAGTTTTCTGCTCCGTGCCCCGCTCCTGCGAATCCAGTGATCCATCCTTTTCCTCCAACTTCCATCCGTCCTGTCTTCCCCTACCTGAGGGGCTGCACGAATTACACGCGGCAGGTAAGGAAGAAAGAGCCCCATGGGGCTACGATCGAAAACGAAGAGGGCGGGCATCTAGGGCTTAGGATGCATAGTTCGAATAGCACGCGGGCGAATAAGAGCGAGCATTCGTAAACATATTGTTCAGGTTGTGTGCGTTGTTGTTGCTGTTGTTGTTTCTGTTGCTGCTGCTGTTGAATGGTTATTATTCAACCATTATTTTTGTTGGACCCTCCCCAGGCGCTTTGGCGCTCTCGCCTCGGCGCCGGCTACACTTTAGTTGAAAATGAGGCTCACGCTCAAGCGGTTTGGGGGGCGCCAAGACCGGCCCCAAACAACAACAACAACAACAATCATTTAAGACTGGGGACACTCCGTTCTCACCAGTGCCAGGGTTTTCATAGGAGGCGGGCAATACCCCCACTTTGTGGGGGGGCCGGTTCAAGCTCTACCAAATTTCCAAACGACTCTTCGCCACCACCCACACCCAGCTTCCCGCCCTATGACGTTCGGACACTTCACTTCGTGGCATGCGGACGACCGTGGCTACTATTCAGGGCCCCGCGGCCGACGACGACGGCGTGCGCGCGCGAAGAAAAAACGAATGTGTCCCGCATGGTATTATTTGACAGGGATGATGGCCCTGGCAGGTGCGCAACCGTTGTCGCAGAAGTTCGAAAAAGTTGCTCGCAAAAGCCCGTTTGACAGAAATGTTTAAAAAGTGTTGGGTTTCCTACGAATCCGCAAGAGCGCGCGGGATGAAATTTTGACGTTTTTTTTTTTTTTTTTTTTTTTGAAAAAACCATTTGGTTTTTTGATGTTGTTATGTTACAATCGCTGCGAACACTAAGGTTTTGGAAGGATTTCGTCTTGCGCGCGCGAATGTCCACTTTACCTTATTTTTTGCAAGGGATTCTTGAAATTTGATTATATTAGAACAAGAAATGTCATTTTCTATTGTTTTTTGCAAGGGAAAGCGGATTACAACAAAACAACCGGATCCTGTACACACCCTCTTTTCTGAGGCTTCCTCACGAAAATGATGAAAATGTAGCTGCGGCCTAGGCGGCGCAGGGGGGGCGCGCACCAGGGGGCCCAACAATAATTATTCTTTAGAATAAATAATGTTCAACAACAACAACAACAGCAACAACAACAACAACAACCATTTTAAGGCTGTGCGCTCTTACTTGCCCGCGAGTCATTCAACACGTATACCCTACACCCTCGATACCCGCCCTCTTCGTCTTCGATCACACCCCTTTCGGGGGGATTATTTCTCTTTGCTGGGGCCGGCGGGCTTAGACGTACGGGCAAACCGGAACGGGCGGACAATCCTTCGGGGGCGTACATCTCTCTGCCCGCCATTGGAATTGGCGCGGGCCCTGCAAGAGGAGGAGGGGAAGAACGAGGGAGAGTGGGAGGAAGGGGAGGGGGAAGGACGAAGGAAGAGGGAAGATACCACGTTGTGAAGGCGTCCTTGGCGCGTGCGTGGTTCCTGAGCGCCGAAACGCAATTCCAGAATAATTTGTGAGGACGTCGCACGCGAGAGCGCAGTCCTGAGTACATTGTGAGGAAATCTCAGGCGGAAGCGGGGGCCCTGACTAAGTTGCGAGGAAGTCTCAAGCGGGAGCGCCGTTCCTGAGCAAATTGCACGGAAGTCTCAGGCGGGAGCGGGGGTCTTCATTAAATTGCGAGGAAGTCTCAGGCGGGAGCGCCGTTCTTGAGTCAATTGCGCGGAAAGTCAGGCGGGAGCGGGGGTCCTGAGTAAATTCGAGGAAGTCTCAGACGGGAGCGCCTTTCCTGAGTAAATTGCGCGGAAGTCTCAGGCGGGAGCGGGGGTCCTGAGTAAAAATCGAGGAAGTCTCAGGCGGGAGCCGTTGTTGTTGTAGCCCGGGGGGCAGGGGCACAGTTTGAGCAGGAAGACTTTCCTTGAGAAAAAACAAGGTGCGAGCCCCGGGGGTGGCACTTCAATCGAAAAAAATCAATGTGCACCGGTGGGGGGGGATAGCAATAACAACAACGTTCCTGGCCGAGATTTCCTCCTTACTCAGGGCCGGTGCTTTTGCTCGCCGCCGAGAGCCGCCGTCCCAACAAAACCAGTGGTACCGCTCGAGTCTTCCCCTCGTTTTGCCTTGGACTGGCGCGCTACTCTTTCTCTCATCGGCGCCCCCCCCAGCAACAACAACTCTCCCGCTCGAGACTTCCTCCCTTTTTTACTCAAGGCGGTGCCTTTGCTCGCCGCCGAAAACCGCCGCCCCAACAAAGCCCGCGCTCCCGCCCGAGACTTCCTCCCGTCTTGCGCTGGACTGGCGCCCTACTCTCTACTTCCTCTTTCCTCATGACGGTGCTGTTCCTCGCCGCCGACAGCCCCCGTCACGACAAAACCACGGTTCCCGCTCGAGACTTCCTCCCGTCTTACTCAGTGCGGTGTTCTTTCTCGCCGCCGACAACCGCCGCCCCAACAAAGCCAGCGTTCCCGCTCGAGACTTCGTTTTTATTGTACGTTGGACTAACGCCCTGCTCGAGACTTCCTCCCTTTCTATTCAGGGCCAGGTCCTTGCCTCGCCGCCAACAGCCCCCATCCCCACCAAGGCAATCCTGTCGCTCGATACTTCCTTGTGCTTTACCCTTGGCTGGGGCTCCACTGGCGGTCTCGCATCGGCGCAGCAAGGCGCGGGCATGCGTTTTCGAGGCCGGATATGTTGAATTTCCTCGGAGGAGGTGTTTGCAAGATCTCATTGGGCGGGAGACATGGGAATGGGAATAACGGACCCCGCTATAGAAATTCCACCATGATGGGATGGTTATCACGGTGGTCGCATGCTTCGTGTGGAAACATCGCGCCTGAAGGTAATATGATACTTGTTGGTGGTGGTGTTTTGAATAATTATTGTTGATCCCCCCTCTAGGGCACATGGTGTTTTTTCAGTCGAGGTGGCCCCCCCCCCGGGACTCGCACCTTCTTTTTTGATGAGGAAAAATGTTGGGTCTCAGAATTGTATGTGTTGGGATTCCGGTTTACAGCAACAACAACAACAACAGCAACAACAATGGCTCCCGCTTGACATTCCATCACAATTGTTTCCCAATTCGCGCTCTCGCGTGGGATTTCCTTTCAATGTATTCCGACGCCGCGCCCTCGACACCCAGGAATCACGCTCTCGCCCTGGCTTATCTCACGATTTACTTGGGAATCGCGGCCTCGCTCGAGTCTTCCTCGCGATTCATGCAGGGTTCACACTTCAGCAAGCCGCCTGCTCGACCTGGCCGCCTGGGCCCGCCCGCCCGGCCCGCCTGTTAGGGTCTACCCGCCTGATCTGCCCGTCTGGTTCTGCCACGTGATTTCTGTTGGTAGCCCCCCTCCTGCTAATCTCTCTCTCGTGATCCGTCCTCCTCCCTCCCCCTTGTCCCTTTTTGCCATCCATCCTCTCTTCCCCTGCGGTAGGGTCTGCATGCAACACACGCTGCAGATAAGAAAGATTTACCCCCAGGGGGGCACGATCGAAGACGAAGAGGGCGGGCATCAAGGTTTTAGAATATACGCGCTGAATGGCACGCGAGCAGGTAAGAGCGGTCAGTCTTAAAATGATTGCTGGTGTTGTTGAGTTCTCAGTTCTAAAGAATCTGTATTGTGATCCCCCCTCCTGTAACCATTGTATTTGTATCACTGTAGTGCTTCTCCCGGGGCTCGCAACTTGGTTCTTCCAAGGGAAAGTATGGAGTCACCAACTGCGCCCCTGCCCCCTGGTTTACAACAACAGCAGCTCCTGCCAGATACTTTCTCACAGTGTACTTCCAAATTGCGCTCTTGCGCGGGATTGCACCACAATGTATGCAAGAATCGCGCTCTCGCATGGGACTTCCTTGCAAATTATTCCGACGCAGCGCCCTCGACACTCAGGAATCACGCTTTCGCCCTGGCTTATCTCACGATTTACTTGGGAATCGCGGCCTCGCTCGAGTCTTCCTCGCGACTCATGCAGGATTCACGCTTCAGCAAGCCGCCTGCTCGACCTGGCCTCCTGGGCCCGCCCGCCCGGCCCGCCTGTTAGGGTCTACCCGCCTGATCTGCCCGTCTGGTTCTGCCACGTGATTCCTGTTGGTAGCCCCCCCCCCCCTCCTGATAATCTCGTGCTCCATCCTTCTCCCCCTCCCCCTTTCCATATGTTTTTCCCTTGTTTCAGAACTGCACCACTTACACGCGGCGGGTAAGGAAGATATACTCCCAAGGGGGTACGATCGAAGACGACGAGGGCGGCTATCGAGGGTTTGGGATACGCGTGTTGAATCGCACGCGGGCAAATAAGAGCGAACAGTTGTCAATGATTGTTAAGGTTGTTGCAGTTGTTGGTCATGGTCTGGTGGTTGTTATTGTTGTTGTTGGTGGTGTTGTTGTTGAAGTTGTTGGTTGTTGTTGTTGGTTGTTGTTGGTTGTTGTGGTTTATTGGTTGTTGGTTGGTGTTTGTTTATGTTGTTTGTTGCTTGTTGCTTGTTGTGTGTTGTTTGTTGTGTGCTGTTCGTCATCGCCATCGTCGTCGCCGTCGTCGTCGTCGCCTCCCCCGCGACCCACCAGCGACTCACCCCGCCCGCGACCAGCCCCGTGACCCAACTGCGACCCACTCGCGACCCACCCGCGACCGGATTCTCTCCCGTACCCATGTCGGTCGTACCGGTCTTAGCGGGGGGGCCTCTAGCCCGCCGCCGCGGCGCCACAGCCAGGTCCCGAGATCGCCGGCGGGCGGCGAGGGGCCGCCGCCGCCCCCGGCCGAGGACGGGCACGGAGGCCAGCTCGCTCCGCTCTCGCCCGCAGCGCGGCGCCGCACCTCGATCGAAATTCGATTATCAGGGGGCCAACACGAGGGTGCGAAGCTAGTCGCGCTTCGTGGTCTGGGCGACTTCAGAGATCCTCATCCTATTCCAGGTTGGGGGTGGTGGGGGTGGTTTCTCCTCCTCCCTCCTCCTTCTCCTTCTTCCTCCTCCTCCTCCTCCTCCTCCTCCTCCTCCTCCTCCTCCTCCCTCCTCCCTCCTCCCTCCTCCCTCCTCCCTCCTCCCTCCTCCTCCCTCCCTCCTCCCTCCTCCCTCTCCCTCCTCTGGCGGCCGCGTGTCTGCCGCGCGCCGGAAGCAACATGATCGGGAGCCGGCGCAAGCCCCAAACCCCAGGACAAGCAAGCCCCACAGCCGACGGGGCGCGCCGACCGGGGCCTTTACTTCGCATGCCCGGGAGCGCGGCGGCAACGTACACGAGGCCGCGTGGTGTGAGAGGTCGCCTAGGCCGCCCATTTTGCCCACGACCATCGTCACGAAACGCTTTTTTACCATTTGGCCGTGGGGGTCTGGCGACCCGGCGCCCGAATAAGTATTCGACAACATCTTTTTGAAGCGAGTGTTGATCATAGCCTCAGACGCGTCGCTCGTCATGGGGACTTGCCGCAGCATGTCCTCTAGCTTGTCATCTTTCAAATCGGTACTGATGGTGGCCGCCTCCACGTCGCCCATCCGGCCGGACAGGGTTTCGCCGACGGACGTGACCTTGACCTCCAGATTCCCGAAGTCGCGGCGCAGGGCTTCCACCACATATGCCATAGGTGCCAATTGCCGCTTGAGGAGTTTGGCGATCCCGCCCGTCGTCACGGACTCCGTGTCCATGATGCTGGCCTCGGCGCTCGAGAAGTCCGGCTGCCGGGAGGAGTTCACGGATTGTCTGTCTTGCCCGTCCCCCCCGTCGTCCAGCAAGTCGTCGTCGTCCAGCTCGGTCAAGGGGCTCCTGAGGCGGGCCCGCCTGTCGACAGGAGTGGCAGGAGTGGCGTGGGCCTCAACTTCGACTGGCGCTGCATCTGATGACGCCCCGCCTAGCACTCCACGCACTGGGGCGCCTGGCTGCCGCGAGCTCGCCGGCATGACAGGCGGCTGTCTCTGGGCAGGTCTGGGAAGCTCGGGTCTCTGGGGGAATTCCTTCCCCCCAGGGACGGCGAGGTTCACTTTGGGTCTGCAGCTTGAGCTTTAGCAGGACCCCGTGAAGGTGGCGAAACATGCGCAGGTGGCAGGCCCCCAGGTAGCCGCGAGGTTTGGTCTGGATGCGTGTAGGACACCAGTCCGGTGGACCTCATAGGAGCCCACTAATGTGACGACAGTGTCGCAGGTGGCCCCCCCCCCAGGTAGCCGCGCGAGATCCAATTTGCATGCGCGTAAGATCCCACTCCGTTGGGCCCCGCAGGAGGTCACGACAGTCGCGACAATTGCGCAAGTGGCAGCCATTGTCGTGCTGAGACATGAAATCCAGCAGGCTGCAAAAGGCAGGAGGAGAGAGAGGCGAGAGTGGGCGGGAGGAGGTTGCGTGAGCAGTGTTCGACTCAAAACGGGGGCCCAACCAGAGGGAGGGCATCGGAGAAACTCACGGCGCTCATGTTTCATTTGTTTTGCCATTTGCGGCGTCGCCGGGCCCTCGCCGGGCCCCTGGGCCGTCAAGGAACGAGGCGACGGAACCCATGTTTTGTCCGAGGACGAGGAGGGGGAGGAGGAGGAAAAGGGAGAGGAGGAGGGGTAGAAGGAGGAAAAGGAGGAGGAGGAGGAGGAGGAGGAGGAAAAGGAGGAAAAGGAGGAACAGTAGAAGGAGGAAGAGGAGGAGGAGGAGAGGAGGAGGAGGAGGATGGAGGAGGAGGCGGAGGAGGGAGGAGGAGGAAGAGGAGAGGAGGAGGAGGAGAGGAGGAGGCGGGGGAGGAGGTGGAGGAGGAGGAGGGGGGGGAGGAGGAGGAGGAGGAGGAGGAGGAGGAGAAGGAGGAGGAGAGGAGAGGAGGAGGAGGAGGACGAGGAGGAGGAGGAGGACGAGGACCGAGGACGAGGACGAGGACGAGGACGAGGGACGAGGACGGACGAGGACGAGGCCGAGGTGGAGGAGGAGGAGGAGGAGGAGGAGGAGGAGGAGGAGGGGGGAGGAGGAGGAGGAGGAGAGGAGGAGGAGGAGGAGGAGGGAAAGGAGGGGGGGAGGAGGAGGAGGCTCTCGCTCGCTGTCCGACCTGCGCCCGCCCCCAGGGGACCCGGCCTCCGCCAACCCCGTCACGGCCCGCCCCGCCGGTGACGCAGAGCGGAGGCCGCTCCCGGGCACCCCCCCGCGTCAAGCGTCAGGAGGGGCGGGAGACTTTCTCCGCCATCCTGTTCCTGATAAGTGCAGTGGAGACCCATGCCAAGAAACACCCTGCTTGCCTCCAGGGTGCCCTGGGTTTCTTTGGTTTCGACGGCTTTGCTGTGGAAGGCGCGATGTCCCCGCGGCAAAAATCAATGGATGCCCGGGGATCTCAAGGTTGGGTTTCTTGTGGAAGGTTTCTTGTGGTCGGGCCCTACTGTAACTCCTCCCTGTCGCGCCCCGAGACGTGTCGGCAGGGCGGGCTGGGCGTTTCGCTTGAGACTTTGCCGCGCACGATCCTCAAGCTTGAAATCTGCAGTAGTTCCACAGATGGAGGGCGGTTCGTTTTCAAAACTGGCCTCTCGCATTAGCGCCGCGCACCTTCGTTTTCAAAGTTTGCATGAGTTTCACGGTCGGTTGGTGGGCGGTTTTCACAATGTGGTTCTCGGCTTAACACCGCGCGCATGCGTTGTAACAGTTCACAAAGGTGTCACGGATGGAGGGCGGGCGGTGTTTCAAATGTGGTTCTCACTTAGCGCCGCGCGCATTGAGGAATTGTGTTTTGGCACCGTTCAGGATTTCCAGGCGGGTGTCTTCCAACGGCGCAATTCCCTCGGTGAAATCATAGTTGTAGGGGCATATAAAGAGGGAATATGCTAGGAGGATTCATTGCAACATCGTTGATGAGTCTTGGGCTTCCACTGGTCCCACCTCCTCCTGCACCTCCTGCTTTTCCTGCTCCTCCTCCTCCTCATCCTCATCCCCTCCCCTCTTGGACCTCCTCGTCCTCCTCCCCTTCCCCCTCTGCCGCCGCTTCTTTGCCCCTCCCCCCCCTCCTTCATCCCTCTCCCCCCCCCGCCCTTTCCTTCACAATTACACCATATGAGTACTACTACCCTCCTCTCTCCCCTGACTCTGTTCGGATCGGAGTGTGTCCCCTCCTCTCCGCGTATGTTTTTTTGTTTTTTTTCACAGGATGTCATTATTTGGTTTCCCGTGTGTGTGTTTTTCAATCCGGTCGTTTCCAGTTCTTTCAAAATAATGATCCCGCTGCAGCGCCGCCCTCATTTCCGCGCTTCGGTCATTCAAAATTGTGCTCCCGCTGCAACGCTGGCTTCTTTCCCGCGCCACTGGTTGTTTCAAATCGCGTTCCCGCAGCAGTATTGGCGTGTTCGGTCCTTCAAGTAGCGCTGTCGCTGTAGCGCTGGCCTCGTTCCAGTGCTTCGGTCCTTCCAAATCGTGCTCCCGCTGCAGCGCTGGCCTCATTCCCGCTTTCGGTCCTGGCCTCGTTCCCGCGCTCCAGTCCTTCTAAATCGTGCTCCCGCCGCAGCTTTGGTGTCATTTACGTCGGTCCTGGCCTCCGTCGGTCCCATGCCACGGCATGCAATGCGGTGCTGTGTTGTTTACTGCTGTTGTGCGATGCCATGCGTTGCGTTGCTGTGCTTTGTGATGCAATGCTCCGCTACGCAGTGCCACGCCATGCTATTACATGCGATGCTCTGCCGTGCTCTTCTACGCCATGCTTGTCCATCCATCGCGTACCCTCTTGGGATCATTGCCCTGCTCGACATCCGACTGCGCGAATAGGTACGAAATCTGCGCCATGGTAAGGGACTGGAGGGAGGGGTAGGACGTCAGATGTGGCACTAGCGCACCTAGCTTGCCCCCCTTCCCCTCCCCCCTCCCGGCCCCATCCCCTCCTCGAAGCGGGGGGGACAGAAGGGAGGCTGCCGGCGGCCGGCGGTGTATCGCCGGTTCCATGTCGATGCTTCCCCCCTGACAGGTCCTTCCGTCGCGTTCCCTTTCAGGGGAGAGGCAGGGTCTAGGAATCGCAAACATACATCCGTCAGGGCTTCGCCCCCTGCCGCCGGCCCCCTCTCTCGGAGAATGCGCTATGCAGGAGCTATGTCATGAGGCCTGGGCGCTGTCACGAAGCAGTATCGGAACTTCACGCGAGGCCGACTCGTGATGAGCAAAACCAATAGATGAACAGAGGGGTTACCACACCTGGCGATTGGTAAGACGTCGTGGCCCTGCCGATCTGCGTGAGGGGTGCCGCCGAATTTCAGAAATGTGGCAAATCCCCTGTGCTTTTGGACCCTGACCTCGCCGATCTGCGTGAGGGGTGCCACCGAATTTCAGAAATGTGGCAAATCCCATGTGTTTTTGGACCCTGACCCCGCCGATTTGCGTGATGGGTGTCAACTTTTACCCACCCCAGCAATTCAGAGCATACGTTTTGGGCGTGGTAAAAATGCCCGTTTTGGCCTTCCCCCCTCGCGCGGTCCATCAACAAGGAACAGTAAGCAGCAAGAAGTCAACAAGGAACAGTGAGCAGCAAGAATCAGAACTGTAACAGTGGAAACTGGAAGCTGCAACTGGTACAGGAAACTGCGAACCTTCGCCTTACAGACTGGTGGCCCCACAAGGGGGCCGGCCGATTTTGGGCGTGCGGGTTCTGCCGCTTCGCCACGCGAAGCGGCGCTGGCCTGGTGTGTCGGGGATGCCTTCCCCGCTCCATGGATCCGGCACCTACGCGCTTAATTCCTGGATCCCTAATGCATTCCAGCGCGTGCCCGACAGGACGAAGCGGAGGCGGGGGGAGGCGGATGGGGTGGTGGGTGCGGGGATTTGCCCGAAATCGCGCGCGCGCTCATCCCATCATGTGGAAGGCTCTGGGACGCGCTCGCGCCCCCTGGGTCATACCCCCCCTCTCGAGATGCTTGCCTCACTTGCGCCAGAGGGAGGCCATACCTCTCCGCCTCTGCCCCCCCGAGGCGGCACCTTTCGGGTGGGGGAGGGGTCTCATGCGTCGCACCCGCGGGGGCCCCACTCCGCGACTGACAGAGCGGGCCTCGCTCTGCGACCGGAGGCGCCTCGCCGCGCGTCGGGGCACCGATGGCACTGCTCGGCGGGGAGGGTCTCGCCGTCGGGTCGCGGCGCAGCTGCGTCGCGGGTGTCTTTGTCCAGCGACTGGGTCGGGCGTTTCGCTGCGCGATTGGACACCCGCGCGCTGGCCGGGGTATGGCGCGGGGGTGGCGCAGATGCGCCCGCCTCCATTGCACGTAAGAGTGACCATTCGCCGGAGTGACATTTGGTGCGCGCTCACTGGGGTCCCCCGATCGCCGCGCTCGGTGCGATAGTAGCGTTTTGCGCGCTTGTGTTTGGCCTCCTCGCACCTCCCAAAAAGCCGCGCACCAAAGGTCACTCTTGCCCAAGGTCACTCTTACGTGCAGCCGACCGCCCCACGAGACAGAAGGGGGGCGCAGGAGCAGCAACCCCAATTCTTGACGCCTCGCGTATTTATCGCCACGGGTTTGCCGTTTGCACGTTTCCTTGGGCTGTCCTTGCAGACTCCCTGGGATTGCACGCCCGCTGGCCTCTCAGACGCCCTGGGTTGCTGCCGCTCGCCGCCTGATCCGCGGCTCCGCGCGCGCCCGCTAGTTAAGTCGCGGCCGCAGCCCGACCGTGACCGCTCGCCGTCGGCGCCTCCGCCTGCGGCTGCAAAAAAGTATTTATCCCCACGAGCCCATCCAGCAACGGTGCCCAGGCGAGGTGCCCTAATCAAGGGAGCGTGGCAGCAGTTGAAGAGCTCGGGGGGCCAGAGGCTCCATGGATGCCTCTCGGAGTCTCCTGGGATGTCTCCAGAGGATGCTCCTGGATGCCCTCGATGCCTCTGTCAGGGAAATGTGGGAGCACGCAATGGAACAAACATATGGGCGGCCGTCAAACCGTCTTTCGCCGCACCATCGTTAGTCGTGGTGCTGCAGTGTGCCTGTGATTGTCTCTCGCTTTGCTCTCTCCCCCTCGCTCTCTTCTGTTCGCTCTCTCCCTCCCCTCTTGCCCCAGTTTGTGGTTCGGCTGGAGCTTGGCGCCGCATGGGCGACCTCCTCCCGTTCCGCCGCCGGTCGCCGCGCCGTTGCGTCCCCACCTGCTGGGATGTCTGAGCCGGTCACCTGTTAATGAGGGTCATTTTGTCCCTGGCATGTGCACACGCCGCTGCGGCCTATGCGCCACTGCGGCCAGCTATCTTCGTTCAGCGTCCCGAACGTTGCCCCGCTTCTTGACATTCGTCCTGGAGCCGCCGACCAAAAAAATATCCCCACCAGCCCATGTGTGTTCGTCCCTGTTGGCCTGCAGCCTAGTATTCTGGACTGCTTGCGCAGCCCCGCGCTTCGCCACGTTCGGTGGCGCGTCTACCTCCTGGCGCCTGGTGCGACAACATTCAATTCGTCATCTTCCCAGTGGTCTCGCCTTTGGGATGCCCGCATGGTGGCCGCCTGGCTCGCCTGGCAGCTTTCGCAGCCTGCCTTCAGCTCCTGGCGCCCGTCAGCCTCCCTCGGCGGCAGCCTCGGCAGCCGTGATTGCGTCCGCTGGGTAATTAAGCTTCGCCGCTAGCCCAGGTTGACCTTTGACGCCGCCGGCGCCTTCGCCTGCGGCTGCGACGAAAAAAATATCCCCACCAGCTTCCCCTTAGCTGTTCTCTGGTTGTGTCTTTCTCTTTTTCCCTCCCCCCTTGCGTCCATTCAGGCCGTAGCTATTGCGTTACGACGTTTGGACGGCGTGCGGCACGTCCGTTTCGCTTGCGATCAAAAAATATCCCCACCAGCCCATGTAGAAACGATTGCCAGGTGAGTCGGTTAATCAAGGACGCCTGGAAGCACGCGGTCGCACAGCCGTTTTGGAAACGTCAAAAATGGGTAGGCAGTACCCTGGACCAGAAAACAACGATAACACATTGCTTCGCGCAGCGAAGTGTAAGACAGCAGTCAGTGCACGATGCGCCATGGTGTTCCCTGTGGTAAGCGTCTTTGGCGAAGGTTGCTGCATCTACGATCCGACGCCAATGTTGCGCAGATTAGAGTCGCATCTCGATGGGCATCCTTGATTTTAGCCCTTGCGCGGATTTGTATTTTGAACCCGCGTGCGTTTCGGAATTTCTCGGGTGTTGGTGCTGCTGCCGGTGC